AGTATTCAAGAGCTACACAGAGCGCTCGCTTCTCAATTTCAGTCAGCGAGAAACTCACCAACACGTTTGACAAAATGTCTGCGATAACCAGTCCGGAAGTAGAAAAAATCCAGAAGATGTTGTGTTGCACAGCTTGCCGAAATGTATTTGAAGTATTACAATTCAATTGTAAATTATGATGAAGTCAAGTTTGGAAACAAGGGCTTGATGATGTTTTACGGATGAAGCAAAGGCATACAGGCGATTCCAAAGACGAGGTATTCTATTATCAAGGGTCCGTAAGGTGGTTAACCTACATGTGGCTTAGTGTTTAGGATAATAATTACTTTCCGGCAGCTATTGGAAAAGTTCGTTCTTGAAAATGGCTAGTATTTCTTATTTTATTGCTAAAAATGTGTTCGAATATGACTGGACTTGTACACGACGATAAAGGCTGCCTCGTTAGCAAAAAAATAATGTGTGAAATAAAAAAAGGTTGATTTCATTCCACCCATGTATAAGAAGAAATATGGACAAAACACTGGAATTTAATCCAAAATCGTGAAAAGTTAAAAGACTAATAACTGTTCAGCAAACACTAGTTCTTATCCCAAAGACTGTAAATAAGAAGCAATTTTAGAAAAATGTGCTGCAAACGGACCGAAAACCATCATTTTACTGTGAATTAACCCGTTTTGTTAATGCACCACCTATTCTATGATTTTTTTTTGTCACATCCAGGAAATATTTTTGCACATCCATTTAGAAAGGACATAGACATAGACCGTAGAAATCGCTAATTTATGTGTAAAGGAAAGATCTTATATATGACTTCAAAAGTTAACAAAAGCGGTACATAAATTTGTATCACATTTTCAAGTAAATCCACATTGGAAATACTATATTGATTATGCTTTATTTTTTGAAAATATTTACTGGTGCGTGAATGCACCACTGGTTTTATGTGTGAAACAAAACTTTGTTATTGCAAGTCTAGACAAGTCAGCGCATATAGAATAAAAATCCAGCAATTAGCCTGTTCTTTAGTATTAGTTTGTGCCTTGTGCAGTGAACGTTACAGTTCATAAAATATAGCATTTGAGAGGTATCTGACTCAAAAGAAATTAGAGGGGGGCTATGCAGGAGATCGTGATGGATGAGGACAATAACAACGAAAATCGTAAATATTATTCCTTGTAAATTTATGCTAAAATAACTTGAAAAAATATTTACAGAACATATTGACGCGGTCTATATTCCACCCGACGTGGTTACCTTGACTGACGAAGAAGATATAATAATATATAATATAATAATATATAATATAAATCTACACGAGTTTGGGGAAACAACTAATATAGTTGGAACTTTGGATTTACATACACCGAATGATACAGCTGTCCTTCAATAGTCCTGTAATTCATCAACTACTGAAACTGAATGGGACTCATCAGATGATGAAACCATGGAATTCAAAAGAAAATGTATGCTTTCTGCAGACAAGCTTGCTTCTACTGTCAAATGGAAGAAAAGTCAGATTGAGTACGCTCACATACCTATATGAGGGATTAAAAAATAGGCTTTCTGGAAAAACTCCGCTTGAAATATTTTTTGTGTTTTTTGATGACGAAGTGATTGATTTGATTTTAAATCTTACATTGCTTTGCGACTTTTAAAAACTGATAAAACAATTGCTCAAAGAAATTTTACACCTGCCATAGATGAAGTGCGTTTTGATTATCAAGGTCACCTCATGATTGTTTATGCTAATAAAGCCTGAAGGAAATGTAGAATCTACCACAGCCACACAATTTACGTTTGTAATAAGTGTAATGTGCATTTACATACTTCATTCTTTGTAAAATATTACCAAAAATGAAACCGGGTGTTACCAGTGGTGCGCTCACGCACCATAAAATATTATACACCTATATCCCATGAATTTAGATCATGTGAGGAACTAAAAAATAGGCTTTCTTGAAATATGTTTTACGTTTTTTCATGACGAAGTGATTGCTTTGATTTTAAATCTTACATTGCTTTGCGACTTTTAAAAACTGATAAAACAATTACTCAAAGAAATCTTTCACCTGCCATAGATGAAGTGCGTTTTGATAATCAAGGTCATCTCATTTGTTCATGCTAATAAAGCCCGAAGGAGATGTAGGATCTGCCACAACCACACAATTTACGTTTGTAATAAGTGTAATGTGCATTTACATACTTCACGCTTTGTAAAATATCACCAAAAATGAAAGCGGGTGTTACCAGTGGTGCACTCACGCACTATAAAATATTATGCGTTTTTTTGTATCAAATCAGGTTCTATTTCGAAAACAATTTACTTTTAGTTGTTTTCTGTCGAATTTGATCCTTCTTTTGTATACTTATGTATAAATTATATATTACATGTTATGTACCCCAAAACATTATTTAATGTTTTTTCCCAGTGGTTCGTTTGCGCACCAGTATTTTTTGTATGTTTTTATTTTTTTTTTTTGGCACATGTAATGTATTCTTAAGTGCAACAAAATAAATAATTTCGGAGCAAAAAAGTATTTTTTTATGCTTCGGATAACATAGGTTAAACTCAACCCAACCTTTAATACTTTAAAATTAAAACCGTTTTGCACGAGGGAATAAAGACAGTGGATTTTCAAAAATGGAGCGAGTGCGTCGAACGTGTGGCTGAAATAGAAGAGAGAATGTGGGAAGCTGATAACATGCTAGAAAACACTGTACTGCTCGTTATTATTTCTTTGGACTTCAGGGACTATACAGATATCTGACAACTAAAAACCATATTATTCCCACCTCTTTCTAATTTCTTAGAATAATTAAAATAAATAAATAACAATAATAATAATTAAATAGTTAAAAATAATTAAAATAAATAAATAAAATGTTAGAATGCGAACTCGTCTTTCTATATTTATTACTGCTAATATCCACTTAATGCGATTTGCTCACTTAAATTAACCAAAACTAACCAAATGCGATAAATAGTTACACCTACCACCGGGTGTCTTACTGTTATACAAGTCGCTTACTTCGATGTCGGCAAATTAAAGAATGGCACCCATTTTTAAAACCCCAATGCATGCGAAATTTTAAAAATTTTCTTTCCGTTTTCCCGAAAGCTAATAACCAAAAATAAAACATTTAGTTGTATGCAGCGCGGCAAAGCGATGGAAAGAATGCAAGTGGGACAATGTATATCGCAAATTTATTCGGTAGAGTTGAAAAGGCCCATAACTTATACAGAAGGTCGGCGAAATTTTTCGTTATACCCGAGCTAGGTACACGTGCTCCAATAAAATGGCGTATAACCTATTGTTTTAGGAGAAAACTACAGTTTTCCGAAATTACGTACGATATAAAAATTTGTTTTCAATCCTCTATGTACAAAACTTGAAATATTGTCGGACAAACCATGTGGTTCCATTTCTTCAATTTTATTAATAACTAATAATAATAATATTACATATAAAAAGGTTTGTAGAAGTTCACACAAAATATTAAAACATTTCGACTACATTTAATCATGTGTATTTTATTTGTTATTATTATTTTTTTAAAATGGTGTAAAATATTAATCTATAGAATAAACGCGTTATTTTAATAAATGTGTTTTTATTATATTTTTGTCAGATATAGCTACGTGGAATTCTCACTAAGTTACCAGATCTTATCTGGAGATCATGTATATCAGAATGTAAGGTTAACAAATCCCTCCTCCTATGAATTTCCAGCAAACTGTGGTAAATAAAGAGAGTACGAAGGGGCATTAAAAGAGCGAACAAACTGTTGGCTCGTTTTTGAAGGCGAAAGATAAAAATGCCATCGCTGAAACTCTCCCCGTACGAGATATATATAAAATAGAAAAGTATGCCATTCACAAATAATCCGCGTTTAAACAGCAACAATTGTTGCATGACAAACAACTAGACGGCTTCGACCTCACAGTATCCACATGCTGCGACCATTGGAGGGAGTAGTCAGTTACTAGTTATAAAGATACTTTCGTTTTCTCTAGATTAAGGTGGACAACGCCCAAAATATTTTCAGCGTATAATAAAATTGCGAAGGTCATTAATGTAGATCACAAACAGCGTTGGTCCCAAGAGAGACACTTTAAGAAACAGATCGGTAGATATTTATTTCGCTTTTAGATACTACATGTAACACGTATATGGGTATATGAAGCACGTCACATCATATTAAAATACAGTGTTAAAAATCATCTACTGAGTAGAGTTAAAAAGACTAAATTCTTTTCTTAAACACAGATAAAATATCAGTTTCTTCAAAATACCCGATATGCAGTAGGAATGGAACCACCAAGTAATCTCTTTGCCGTGTGTCATGTTCGTGCAGGTCACATCTCCTTTTCCATCTTAGCATGTTACTTTTGACGTAAATCAAAACAGAATAAATATATAATGATGAAAGTGATCTGAAGTTCGCTAAATAAATCCCTACATATTTCGAATTACACATTTTTGACTAATTTACTAATATCGATATCATAAAACAAGGAGCTAGAATGTAATCAATTAGATTTCAGTTTTAAATGGCTATTTCATTAGAATGTTCCCAATTTATGTAAAAGTGTCAGTATAATTTCAATGTCCAGACGCGGCTGGGCTCTAATTCTTGAACCTATGGAACTGCCTTTGCAACGATTACTCCATATCTGTCACATTGTAAAAAATAATAATAATGATCAAGATTTGCATAGAGGAAAACATGAATCCTTAGTTTCCAGAATTGGAACCCCGTAATCAGTCCTTTCCTTTTATGGAATTGATTTACTTCATCATACCCGCTCACTGGCGCAGCGGGAAATTATAATTAAAATTTACTTGCAAGTACTTCGTTTAACTAAGACGTGTTTCCACAGACAATGTATAGCAAGTTTGATAAAGCCATTATCTGCCTCCTAATTTCTCCAAGGCATAAGTGATATGAATGGCGTCACAAAGTAAATATGAAACAAGAACAAAGTTATTCTAATTTACCTGAAAAACCGGCGCCACAGTTAACCAGTGCCTTTTCTCGCCCGAAATCAGTATTTCCAGCACTTCTACTTTCGAGTCGATTTTCTCGATTGGTATTTGGTCAGTGGCGCAACCGGCAAAACACGAAATTCGGCGTTTTCCTCTATCGGAGGTTCGAGAGGCACACGAAACCGGGCACATGGTGTTAGTTCCGTCAGCAACGCCATTGCAAGCCAACCACAGAACCATTATGGTTGGTAGATGAAATCGGCGACAGTATGCCATTCTGTAAACGAGTAAATTGGATTATTTGATTGCTATTAACAGTTGAAGTTATCAACGATTAATCAAACATATTTTTCTACTCTCTACTCTAAAATATCTAATTAGGCATCGATCAAGCTGGCTCTCTTCTTTACTCTTGTTTAATCTTCCAGTTTGAAAGTGAAATAAAAACAACTGTTCCTATTGCGAATAAAATAGAAACATAAATTGAAGTCTCAGCGCATTGTATTCTCTAATTGAATTTATTCTTGTTCATTGTATTTTGTTCCCGTTTAATTAATTGGTGCTATCCTTTGTGAAACATTCGGAATAAAAAGTGCTTTAATTAGATCATCTAACTGCAACGGACTTTCGTGGCAACCTTTGTCAGCTGGCCTACAAGGTAATTTGTCAAAGCATTTAACACGAAACAGACTAATTTAACAAAAAAATTAATTCGCTTAACATTTTGCTCAATGGTGTCCCACTAAAAACTTGCTAAGAGGATATTGCGGTTATCCATTCTGGACTGCTTTATACCGAACTAAAGAATTTAGATTTGAAATTCGTCGAGACCATCTGCGTATATCGCTTATCAAAAATGGCATATACTGTCCATGATAAAGATCATTACAATCATTTGGTTTATTTAAATTTTTCAAGGATCATTTGGATCGTTGTCTTGAAATTTCCATTATTACAATTTCATCCTGTGTAATAGGACACACCCAGTATTAACACAGCAAATCAGAGTAATGTTTTCTCAGTTTTAACGTTAAAAAATATTTCAGAATGTATGCAATATTAGGATCTGGAAGTCTATGGAGGAAGAATACATAATAAACAGAAAAAAATTAATCCTAAATGCCAAATCATATCAAATTTTCAGAGTCCGTAAGCCTACAGCAAGGAATTTGTAGTTTGTGGTCATATTGCCGCTACTAAATTGTCATATTAATGAAAAAAAGTAGGAGCTTCGATAAGGGAAGTACTGTTCATGTCTTTACCTATAAAATAATAATATTATACTTATAATACTCAATATATAGCTAACAGATAAAAAAATGCTTAAACCCAAGTCAGAATGCATACGCAACAATTTTACATACAGCTTCAACCTATACGTATTGTTGGGACTGGTCAAATTGACATGTCAAAGCATACCCGAATAGGATACCTAGCAATTCGGAGAATAACGATAAAAATATCCACTCCATTTAATTCGCAAAACTGCGCAATGGCGACGTAACGCACAATATAAATAAAAGTAAATTAATAAATATAAATTTAATTGCATTTTTAATATTATTTCGGTCAATTGACTGATCAATTGACCAATCAATTGAAACCAAAAAATTTGACCGGGCAATTCCACAACACTATATATACGTATGGTACTCTCTATATGATTCCCATGAGGTAAGCTTCTGAGTATAAATAAATAAACTATTGCTAGCAAATATTTTGAAAGCAATTTTATTGAAAGTTTTAAGTGAAATAATAGTATTAGTATTTAGAACAGAACGACTGTTACTGGTTCATCTATTTATTCAAATTTAAATGCTGTTCTGGTAATAAGGCAGCAAAACTTATATGGAGTAATTACTTAATCGCTTTACTAAGGTCTAGTAATACATCTGACTTCCTCAAGGTTTTTTTTATATCATAAACGTTGCAGATTTAAAGATATAGAGCAGTTCATAGGAAAGTCTGTTTTGTGAAATATTTGTCATTGTTTATTAGTTGGAAACGATGAACTGAAATTAAGAAACAATTATTGGAATAATCCTAATATAGGAAAAAAAATATATAGGACGTCAGACTTAAAAATATATATTTTGCCTTTGGCACACTTCCATGAAACCTTTGTATTATTTAAAATGTTTATAAAATTACAATAGAATACAAATAGAAAATGCAAAATACTCAATTATACACTGGTCAGCTTTGTTAACCACTGTGGCGAGCAATTTAGGACGAACCTAACCTCAAAGTTTAAAATCGCCCTCACAGGGCCACGATGCTTGTAGGGTGTGCTCCGCCCCCGAAGTGGGGCCCCGATGCCTGTAGGCCCGTGGTAGGAAGTTCGGAATAACACGTTTCCGCTACTTTGGCTAGTAGAATCACAACATAACTCCGTAAATGTATACCACTATTTTTATAGGATTTGACACGTTGTCCATAAATCTCAGTCTCGGCTAAATCGCATAGTTCATTTGTAGCATGACTAGGTTAAGTCCTCTATTAAGTATCGAATTCTAAACAGTTTTTACAAATTGCTTAGCATCGAGAGATAAATGCATATTTTTTAGTAGTGGGAACATTGCCCCATAACAATGATTCTAAAATCAATATTTGACATAACAGTAACTTACTTTCTGTCCTAAGGTCAAATTATTTATCTACACGGAATGCACTTCCCAGCTGTAGCAGCAGAGGGACGCTCGCTTGATCTCGAGTCAAGCATGTATTATTCTGTAAACTTTGATAATAACTAGCAATTCTTCAAAGAAACTTCCACAGGCTACTGTGATACTTTTAACAAAACTTCTGAATTCCTCCTGCGTCGGTTTTTGAGTCGAAATTGCTAACGTTTAGCCAATCACCCTGTTGGCTGCTTCAAAGCTTGACTGAAACTGCCTCTTATTTTACTCTGTACCTGCTTATATATTGTTTGAGGGGGGCGGAGCTAACTGAGGGGCATAAACACCGTCTCGGATGACTGATTCCCATATTGGTGACAGGTAGAGACCTGAGTCGCGGTTAATATTGTTAGGTTGTTTATAGATTTCTATAGACTCTAGGATTTTTCGTTCGTAGAAGAACTGATTACATGCAAGAATTTTAGTTTTATCGAACAAAGTTTTATGTCCGGTTTCGTGAGTGTGTTTGGCAACAGCTGATGAGTTAATTCGTCCTAGTGTTCTTTGAGTCTAGTTGATATTTTTCGTCCGGTCTCTCCCATGCATTCTTTGCCGCATATGCATAGAATGCTGTAAACTCCTGGTATCTCAAATGGCATTTTGTCTTTGACAGACCGAAGATGTTGAGAGATTTTTGGACAAGTGGTAAACCTGGTTTTGACGTTATACTTCTTTAGAACTTTTGATATGTGGTCAGTGATGTTTTGAATGTAAGGAAGGACCACAGTGGCAAGTGTAGGATTGCGGCCTCATTGCTATTGGAAGGTTGTGGTGAAGTGTATTTTTTGATGGAACGCTTAATATCTTTAATGTGGAAATTATTAGAGAGAAGAGGGTAAGGTGTTTAAATTCTGGGTTCAGTGACTCGGCTCTATAAATAAATAAATAAGAACCAGTTTCAGTCAATCTCTGAAGAAGCCAACAGGATGATTGGCGAAACGTCAGCAAATTCGACTCAGCAACTAGTAATTCTATGCAATGTCGGATTTTATAACAAATACATATTACAAATTGCCTTAAATAAATTGGAATGACGGTTACAAACAATTTGCTCTCGTCCTTTCTATTAACAAGCCAACACCATAAAGCTTTAGAACTGCCAAGCGGCCGGACGATATTTATTAACTTCTACCGAAGCTGTCCCAGAAAGGATGCTCGTAGAAGGAAAAGATTTCTTTCTCCCTTGACGGGTAGCGGCTTTTAATAAAACTAACTTCATCGAAGTAAAACCTTCTTCCAATTGGAATTTAACTTTCATTAGCAAATCAAATAACCGGATGCGAAAACCGAAACTAATTCAAATAAACCTGAATTAACTGGGCGCAGTTTAAACAAAAGCGCAAAAATGTTATACGAACCGGCGTATTTGCGCGGAAACTTTTCAGGGGTTCCTGCAAAATTCGATTCGTACGAAACATGTGATTTACTCCCACGCCACCTCATAAATATCGCACGTCAAAAATTCGAATTTCGGTTTTTATCGATTAAAACTTCCTAATTGGATTAAATTAGGTCCTAAATTTTCCGAAAAACCGTCGGTGTACTAAATTCGGACTCTCAATTGTATTCCCGAAAGATGCATAAAATATCATTAAGGGTTAATTGGGTTCAATCGTGACCGTAAGCCGTTTTCCAAATCGGGTACACCAAGCATTTCCAATTTCATTTCCTTTAATTCGAAATAATAAATTATTTAAAAAAAAATAACTTTTCCCTTTTGTTTCAATTTATCAAGCAAGTCAGCAAATTAATTAAAAAACCATATGCCGATAATACTCAAAAGAGACATTCAATATGCATGCGCAAGTTATTACGAAACAATCAACATGGCCGCTCATTTATCAAAAAGCACGACTGTGGCTCGACTCACGCGGGTCTCTCCATATTTATACACACTTTTAGAAACCCAATTATACAAGGGCATTGTATAAAATCTGTTCATAGATATAAGAAAATGACTAACTGATACGAATTAAGGAAAGACCCGGGCAAGCTGCAAGAATGAAACTTGGCCGAATAGGTCCGTACTTTGCTTAGAATTTAATTATTTGGAGTTTTGTTAGGAAAGATACTAAACAATATTTATTACAACAAAATTAAATTACAAATTATTTTTATTACCTACTTAAATTACTTAAAATTATTCACATAATATATCAGTATCACTGTCGCTATCATCGCCTGTTCTAATTATTATTTGTTCTATATTATATGCAATATGGATATACGAATGTTCTGCTTTTTCTATACGTTAACAGAATTTGCCCAACTTTGTGGAGGGATGCTAAAAACTTCAGTTTCTATAAGTTTGAAGACATTGGAGTTAACACGGGGAAAAACATTGTCACGACGAATCGCAGATTTCAGTTGGTGCCAAACAGGTTCAATGGGATTAAATATACAGTGGTAAGGTGCAAGTCTTAAAAGTGTATGCCCTAGATTTTTTGCATAATTATTACAGACGTATTCCTTTTGTAGGTTAAAGCTTTGTAGAACCTCAATTAATTGCTTTTTGGTATAATCTTCCTGAAAATAAATGTCGTTATTATACATGTAGTTTTGGATTGTTGCTTTTGTGTCACATCAGGAAGGGGATTCA